AATTTATGTCTTTTAATCTTTGCTCTATTTTTGTTACACGATAATGAACAAAGAGGGGCAGCTGAATACACTTAATTTCGTCCATAAATATTATTATATTATATAAAGTGTTTACATTGTAAATTATATTATATAATATATGTATTTATATTTTTGTTTCATTACATGTTACAGGTTCAATGTTACAATTAAGGCCCACTACAAGGCAGCCCAAATACACAGTAGACCCAGTTACACGCCCATCTAGTGACCCAAGTGGCCCAGCAGAAGCCAACACGCGACCCAACAGGACCTAGTGGAGCAGTCCAAACAAAATTGGGACTCGCGACCCGAACTGGCTCGGATCCAGATGGGTTAGGGTTTTAAAACCCTAACCCACTTTACTTCCAGCCATTTCTCTCTAAGTTATGCACCTCCCTATTCGCGATACCCCCCGTCGAATACGCTCCACGCCTCATGGACGCCGACCATTTCGCTCTGTTCAACAACACAATAGACGTGTTTTAATATGACTTCAAGCAACCAACAAACTGAGTTTTACTCAGAATCAAACGCTCGAAACAGTCCAAAAATAGGGAATCATTTACTTATAAATACCCATGTAAATCAAACATGAACCCACACAAGATTACATATAAAATACTACGAGCAAACACAAAAGTGTTTGTAAGGCTTTCGAAAGGGAAATAAAAGAAATGTATTATTTATTTTACCTTCAATTCGTTCATATGGCTTGCATGCTTATTTTTTTGTTTTCGATTTGAAATAAATCGAACGGTCGATGACAAAAAAAGGGGCCTTTTTGAAACTTTATTTCTAGATCTACATTCCCCTGAGGTCGATTTCCAAAAACTGTCTCGATATTTGCACTGGGGTACAAAAACGTTTTCGATAACAAAAATTTTTTGCCGCCGATGACCCGCAGCCGGCACCGATCAATGGCGGCCGACGAAGCGGCGGGGCGGTCGATTTCTGGAAAATACGATGGCTTGTTCATCTGCTGATGAACACGCATGAACAAAACAGAGAAAATGGGATTTTTTTTTATCCAAATGAGGTAAGTGAGAAGAAATGATAAGTGTTTCTGAAAAGCGGATTTTATAGTCGACTCGTTGGGCGACCCTTGCCTCGACCTGACCCAGTTCAAGGTCTGCGCATTTTGAATGGGAATGGGGGAATTCTTTTTTTCAGTCCCTGTATTTTTGGAAACGCTCATTCGAACCCATAATTTGATTTTAACCCCATATATCTTTCGGATTTACCCCTCAGTCTCATTTTCTTTCAATTTAGTCCTTCTGTTTTTTATTAAATTCATGTTTTAATCCTTTCTTTTATTTTTCATATAAATACCATATTTTATTATTATTATTATTATTATTATTATTATTATTATTATTATTATTATTTATTATTATTATTATTATTATTATATATATATATATATATTTCCTTTATTTATTTTATTTTAACATTTATATGTATATATTTTATCCTTTTTTTTCATTTGATTTGTTTGTTTGTTCTTTTTTTAAGCATTTTTATTATATATATATATATATATATTTTTCTTTTAATTAAACGCTACATTTACGTACATATATACATTATGTTTATTCTTGTTTTTTGTGTTGTTTTCTTTTCTTTTATTTATCTTTTTGGGTTTTTATTTATATTTCCATTTATTTGAGTCTGTTTTATTTTATTATTTTGTTTTGGAAGATTAGTTGTTATCAACTCTTTTAGGTTTTTTTATTTATTTACTATTCTTTCTTGAGGTTGCGCTTTCAAATCTATCTGAGGTAAGTAATTTGGGATCATATTTTTAACTTTTAATTTAAACTCTTAATTTTCTTAATTAAAGACAACTGGAAATTATTTAGTACCGAAATGGAAGTTCAAGGGTGCTAACCCTTCCTTGATCGTAACCGACTCCCGAATCCAACACATCTTTGGTAAGACGTAGATCATGTAAGAAATAAGGTATCTGATCAACCTATTTGTTTTAAAATAAATTATCGGTGGCGACTCCAAACCATTTCATTCAAGTCGAAGCCCAATTCCGAGCCCACCCGAAAGACGGTTCCGACAATTTCTACGATGACCGACACATAGATTCTCAAAGATTCGTCAACACCATCACCATTATCATCATTAGATACATAATAATCTTGATCGGCCAATCCACGTTCAAGATCGCCTTCTTTTGGTCGAATCGTCATCTGTTGGAACCACATGAATTACTTCATGTTCTTGAAGAAGTTTGAGAAATGGAGACCAGCATGAGATGAATATTCCAGTTCTTGAAATGCCCAGGTTAGAGGAGTAAGAAGAAGAAGAAAAAGAGATTAGATCATAAACATATAGGGTTGTATGATTCCTCCATGAATTACATGTATAAAGTTCATTCATTCCTCACCAAATTATGTCGATGCAACAAGCTCATGTATTACTACTTCTGTTATCAACGTCTGGCCCAATATTATGTCTTCGATGATGATATGGTAATGGTGTCAGTAAAGCTCGGAGAATCTTAGTGTCGATCACCGTGGGGAAGAGAAAAAGAGCTACGATATGCCGTTGACACTACAACAAATTTGTCAATTTATGACAAAATTTCTATATGACGTTATGTATATCGTCACAAAATATACTATTATGTGACGTTTTTTATTTTCGTCATATTTATTGATTAATGGTATATCTTTTATGACAATTTTAAAAATGGTAATTGATTTTTGTCACTATATGTTTGGCGTCAAAATCTTCCCACCATATTCTTTGGTGGGAAACCTTTTAATGACATTTAGATAAAATAATGACGTTGTAAAATCGTCTCCAATGAAAAACATGTATTAGTGACGACTTATTATAATGACTCTTGAATTTGAATTACTGGCATTGCACATTTGTCACTAATAAGTTTTATTCGTGACAATTTAATTTTTCATATTTTAAAGACACTAAAAGTGACATTTTATTATTGTCACAAAAAATAGTTTTAGCACGACAAAATCAATTATTTGTCACTTGCTTTTATCTCTCTTTTGTATATGACGATTTTAAAAGACATCGTGAAATTATGTCAGTTAATGTTAAAAAATAAGATAATCTAACAACCTTATTAAATAATGCAATTTATATAGTTTTTTGGTTTTTTATTTTATTGACATTATTCTATATTAGATTATCTCATATTCAAAGATTTTTTAGAGTAAAACATAAAATAATAAATCGTTAAAAAGAAATGGTTTAGAAGCTAGGTTGTTACAAGTTTGTTAGTCTAGCAAGTTCTTAACAACTTAACAACTAGTTGGTTAGGTGGGTTTCTTGAATAACAAAAGCGTTGTAAGTGAGTTGTATGAATACAATGGTGTAGATTGTGATGATATAGTGCTATTGATGGAATTAAGTAAAGAATATGTTTCTTTCATCCTTTCTTGTTTTCTTCTGCAATATTCAACATGTCAGTACCGTGAATTATCATGTCAGCACAGTAATATTCAGGGGTGTTCAAACGGGTAATTCAGTTAACCGATAGAACCAAATTATCCAAATTTCATTAACCAAATTCTTTTTCACTTTAACCATTAACCGAACTGATTTTTTTTAAAAAAATAACTGAACCGAACTAATTTCGATTAACCGAATTAACCAAAATTTATAAATAATATATATTAAATACTTAATATTTAATATTTTTTATTTACTCAATTAATTTGGTTGAAATCAAAGTTTAAATACCCTAAAGCTAAATAATATATATAATATATTAAATATTTAATAATTTTAATTAATTCGGTTAATTAACCGATTTCGAACTGAATTAACCGAAATCAAAGTTTAAAAAAAATTATTAATCGTTAACTGACCAAACCCAAAATTAATTGACCGAAATTTTAGTTTGGTGGGTTAATTCAGTTTTAATCGAACAGTAAACACCCCTAGTAACGTTCAGCATCGTAAAAACATTGGTTAAAAGATCATATAAAAAAATTGAAGACCACATTATTTTATTCCATAAAAAGTAATCTTGTATTTTATTCAAAAAGTACAAGGGCCTCGTGTGTTTTTTTCCAAAATTCTTTAGTTAGTCATGTTTTGTTTGATAAATCATCAAAAGATTAAGTACATAATATACTTATTTTATTCCAAAAAAAAGTAATTTTGTATTTTTATTTTTCTAAAATTTAATATTATTTAATATGTTTAATATTACTTTTAGAGCACTGGTAGTCCCTAAATTTTAAAAACACATGTAATTTGGTCATCAAACTTTTAAAATTTACATTGAAATCATTAAACTTTTAATTCAATTAAAAACTTACATACATACATACATACATACACACACACACATATATATATATATATACTTAAAAAATTAAAAATATTATTTAATATTCAAAATTTAAATATTAATAATTTTAAAATAAAATCAATACTTTAAAAATATTTATGTGCTATTTATCTTGAAATGAACTTAGAAGCTAAAATAGGAATTTAGAAATCAAATTTAGAAATAAAATGAAAGAATATTTAAGGCTTAATATAAAAATAAATGTCTACATTTTACTTAAAATTGACTCTTGGTGCTTAATTTTTTCGTTAAAAATATACATATATGTTTTATCTGTTAAACTTTTAGGTGTCTACCATTAAATGACATGTGTTACGTTTATATTTATATTTTTTAAAATAAAATATTATTTTAAAAAAAATTAAAAATTGAACGTGGCATGTGTGACTTAACGGTAAGCACTTAAAAGTGTGACGAAAAAATATTGGCATTTATTTTTAATAAAAAACTCTTTAAACGTTAATTTTAAGTATAGTTTAAAAAATTATTTTTCTATTAAGTCAATATTTAATAATGGAAGAAAACATGAGAGCAAAATGAATGCCTTAATATTGGGCCTTAATTTCGGCCCTTTATATATAGCCCATTCCATCCATTATTTTTCACATTCAATTATTTTTATTCCGCGATTTTCTCTCTCCCCAAACACATTCCCTAAAAAGAAAAAAGAAAATAAAAAGAGAGCTGTTCACGAGGGTTCTCTGAGAAATTTCCTGGTTTTGTCTCTCCTTTGATCTGGAAAGAAATTGACCCATCACATAGTTTCCAAAGCTGTTCAAATCGTCGGCGAAATTGTTGAAGAACTGAAAGCCTAGGATGGCATCCACATTCAGCGGCGATGAAACTGCTCCTTTTTTTGGTTTCCTCGGTGCTGCTGCTGCCCTCGTTTTCTCCTGTATGAGAGCTGCGTATGGGACGGCCAAGAGCGGTGTAGGAGTGGCCTCGATGGGAGTGATGAGGCCGAAGCTGGTTATGAAATCAATCGTCCCCATTGTTATGGCCGGTGTTTTGGGTATTTATGGGTTGATTATTGGGGTTATTATTAGCACAGGGATTAACCCGAAGGCCAAATCTTACTACCTTTTCGATGGCTATGCTCATCTTTCCTCTGGTCTTGCTTGTGGCCTCGCTAGACTTTCTGCCGGCATGGCTATTGGAATCGTGGGCGATGCTGGTGTTAGGTATTGTCATCTAATTTGCTTGGAATCATTTGTTTTTGCTGTTTTGCATTTCAAATCTCTAGAACTGAAAGGTTGTTTGCACGAATCAAATTTCATTTGCTGCATAGATTTTTTCGACGCTGGTTATAATAGTGAAAATGTGAATGTGTAATAACTGTGATCATGTGCTTCACTTCTCACTCACATTCACAAATTCTGATAAAACTATAGTGGTAAACTTCTTGTCGAGTGAATTCAACCTTGGATCTGCTGGAATCTTACTTGGTTCACAAAATGTAATTTATTTCAATTCATGTAAGGCATGTGGAAGTTACAAATATTAAAAGCTTCGAAAGAGAACATTTTTATTTTCTTTTAAAATCTTGGTGATGCTTGCAGAGAAGCTGAGAATTGTTGCTATTGAATATAGAATATAGATCTGTCATAATTTATTACAAAGCCTAGAATTTCTTGGCCTCGATGGGAGTGATGAGGCCGGAGCTGGTTATGAAATCAATCGTCCCCGTTGTTATGGCCGATGTTTTGGGTATTTATGATTTGAATGATGTAGCGAATTTAGGGTTCCTATTTACGAATTTATATTTCTTCTTGATTTTTTATTTCATTTATTTGATTTTGAATGTTCTGGCTGCTAATTCTGATTGCTTTAAATTTCCCCCTTGTTCATCATGATAATAATTTGTCTTCATGATTTGATTGTTAGGCTTATATATTTTATAGATGCAAGCATGCCTGCATAGACCGTCATTTTTTTGTTATTTGTTGCATATCTATGTTGGAGATTAGGAGTTTGTGATTTGATTTTTGATTCAATCATATGATTAAATGATGCATATCAATTGTGTAAATTCTAATCTAATTAGCAATGTTCCCATGGAATTTGGATGTGGTTCCCTATGATTAAAACCTTCATTTTCAACCTATTTTGAGATTCAGCATCCTTGCTAGTATTTTTTTTGGAATTGCATATATGTGGTAAAGCCATAGGCTCATGGTTCCATCCTTAAATTTAGCTTCTTTTGAGTAGATATGAATCTCGTATTGAAATATGCTTGGTGGGTTTTGTTATGTAATGAAATTTTTACTCTTTTATTTCTATAATAAATTATAAATTATGTTTATACATGTTTATAATTGAAGAGGAAGTGTGAAACTAATGCAAGAGTTAGAAGAAATGTCAAGTTAACTCCTAATCAAGGATCTCGGGCTTTTGTCGCTAGCCGATATGCTATGGTACGTTGGACACTTTTGATATTTATTATAAAGTTTATTTTTATTTTAAAGTCTAATTTTTATTTTTTGAAATCATATAGCGCAAGGATGATGAAGAACCAAATAGGATGGATTTCTTCAAGGCAACTCATTATTCAAATGACAAAGGATGGACAACATCTAAGGCACAAGCAAAATATGTAAGACTTCACAAAATTAAGTATTAAATTGTAATTTTTCATCTAAGGATTATTTTATTTATGAATGACGTTTTTTAGGAGAAAATGGTGGAGTTGCAATCAACTTCAGTTGAAGAAGAAGCAGAAAATATGTAAGCCTTGAAATCACAACCGACTCAAGGTTTGGATTGAGATTGCTACTACGAAATATTCCACAAGTAATATTATTATCATATTATTTTTATTTTCTGTAAACATTTAAACATTTTTATATTTATAGAAATGAAATTATTATGTTTTTATTGAAATGTTTGTTTAAATCTTATTATTTTGCAATAAGTGAATTATTTTTTATTTAGATTTGTATAAGTAATTTTTCATCCAAGGATTATTTTATTTATGAATGACTTTTTTTTAAGGAGAAAATGGTGAAGTTGCAATCAACTCCAGTTGAAGAAGCAGAAAATATGTAAGCCTTGAAATCACAATCGACTCAAGGTTTGGATTGAGATTGTTACTACGAAATATTCCACAAGTCATATTATTATCATATTATTTTTATTTTCTGTAAACATTTAAACATTTTTATATTTATAGAAATGAAATTATTATGTTTTTATTGAAATATTTGTTTAAATCTTAATATTTTGCAATAAGTGAATTATTTTTTATTTAGATTTGTATAAGTAATTTTTCATCTAAGGATTATTTTATTTATGAATGATTTTTTTTAGGAGAAAATGGTGAAGTTGCAATCAACTCCAGTTGAAGAAGCAGAAAATATGTAAGCCTTGAAATCACAACCGACTCAAGGTTTGGATTGAGATTGTTACTACGAAATATTCCACAAGTCATATTATTATCATATTATTTTTATTTTCTGTAAACATTTAAACATTTTTATATTTATAGAAATGAAATTATTATGTTTTTATTGAAATATTTGTTTAAATCTTATTATTTTGCAATAAGTGAATTATTTTTATTTAGATTTGTATAAGTAATTTTATTTTAATATATATTGTCATTAAAAAAGTGACATTAAAAAAGTGACAATTTTTAGTTTTGTCATTATATTGGTAACATTATATATGGTGATGCTATGCATAATCATCATTTATAATATTATTAGGTAACGATATATTATATCACTAAAAATGTGACAATATTTTTTTCGTCACATATAAGTTGATTTTAATGCATTATTTATGACAATATAAATTATTAATAACGAAATCTTATTTAATTTAGTGACGTAATCAATTGTCATAGAATATAAATTATAAAGTGACGCATAAATGTCATTCATAATATTATTAGGTAACATTTATATTATAATATTATTAGGTAACATTTATATTATGTCACTAAAATTTTGACAATATCTCTTTAGTCACATATAGGTTGATTTTAATGTATTATCCGTGACGATATAAATAATCAATAATAAAATTTTACATAATTTAGTGACAATTAGTTGTAATTGAATATTAATTATATAGTGGCGTTATATATAAATGTCATCGATGCTACTATTAGGTGACGATATACTACGTTACTAAAATTGTGACAATTTTCTTTTCGTCATGTATACAATGAAATTATTGTGTTATTGGTGACAATATGATTTATTAATGACGAAAATGTACATCATTTGATGACAAAAGTAATTGTCACTTAATGTAAATTAAACTGTGACGCTATCCATTAAAGTCACTATATATTTAATAATACATGACGATAATACATACATCGTCACTTTTGAAATTTAGTGACACACCTAGGGTGACGATCGTCGTGACATTGACTTTTACGTCACAAAATACATCTAGTGACATAAATTGAAATTTTAGTGACAATAACCTAGATGCCACTAATAAGAAAATTTGTCGTAGTGTGATGTACCTTTCACTGTCGTGGTTCCAACAGATAATGAATCGACCAAAAGAAAGCTATCTTTTTGTAGAATCATCATCATGGTTTCAAAAAATGTTCCGAAAATGCGATTTCTTCCGCAATATAGCTGTTTCGCCGCCGTTTGAGTTACCCGCTACACCCGCAATAGCGCCCAATAGTGCCCGCGACGGCCACAATTACGGTAAACCCAAAATGACCGAAAACGCGACCGCGATTTGAAACCTTTATCATCATCTACTAGAATCATGAGAGTGAAAGGTACGTCGACGGTACGTCATAGCTCTTTGCCTCTCCGTCCAAGGTGAATGACATGTAGATTCTCGGAAGTCCGCCGACACCATCACCATTATCATCATCAGAGACATAATCTTGGTCGGCCAATCCACTTGCAAGATTACCTTTTTTTGGTCGAATCATCATCTACTGGAACCACGTGAATTACTTCATATTATTGAAGAAGTTCGAGAAATGGAATAAAACTTGACATGAATATTCCACCTCTGGAAATGCGGAGGTTAGTAGAATAAGTGTTAAAATGGGTATTCATCTTCTTATTCAATTGCACGATCATAGTTTCATTTACTATTACTTTTCAACATTCATTTACGATTAGGAATGCAAATTTTTCATAAGTGTCTGTTTGAAAAGAATAAGCTCCAACATGTTCGGATTACTCATTTCTGTTGATTGATTATGTTCGAATTACAAGACTTTAAACCATGATTTTCAAAATCTGAATTGGCTTGAAATACATTTTGTCGTAATCGGTTTTCGTTCGGGTACGAATTTTTTACTTGGCGGGAAAAGTGATGTGAATAAATGGTTTTTAAAATAATTTGGGAGTCGCTATCGGCTTTTTGGGTCAGGTAGGTCGAATACCTAAAAATCATCATTTAAAAGAGTTTTTAAGAAAACATCGATTAAAAGATAAACTGATCTGCGTTTTAACAAAAAAATTGTTCTTTTTAATAATAAAAAGGGATTCGTGGCCGGTTACGTTTAGGGAAGGATTAACACCCCTACAACGCCCAAAATTGGTACTTTTTAATTATAAATTGTGTCTTTTATTAGAATTTTAATTATTCAAAAATATACTTAATTCATAATTCTATTATTTCAAATTTATTAGTATAATTTTAAGAAAATATTTATATTTTTATAAATAAGATATTTATTTACTTAGAAATATCAGAAAATGACTTCTAGGTGCTTTAAGACAGCCCATTTCTTAATATTAAAAAATAAATAAATATTAATAAAACATTTCTCTAAAAATAATTAAAATAAATTAATATATATATAATTTATAAAAATAAAATATTTATTTATTTATTTAAAAATATCAAAAAATGGACATCCAGTTGCTTTAAGACTACCATTTCTTAATATTGAAAAATAAATAAATATTTAAAATATGATTATTTTTCTTAAAAGTAATTTTATTAAATTAAATTTATAAATAGGATTTTAATAGAAAACAAATAAAACAAATAAATAAATACTACTTATTATATATTTATATGACTAACTAATAATAACATAATAATTAAAGTAATAATTTAAACTTATTGAAATTGAAATAATAATAATATAAATTAAATTGCAATTAAATAGTGACTGAAATAAATATAATAAAAATAATAGGAATAAAATGTAAAATATTAAACTTTACCGCCCTTATTCGAAGTATTATGAAAAATATAATTACTAATAGTGTAATTAACCCTAATTATTAATTGGTGATTGACATAAATATTAATTAAATTATGGGGGACTAAATAAGGTATTTGACCTTACATGTATATATACATATATATAAATAGTGATAAAAATATAAAAATTAAGGGACATTATTCGAAATATCATAAAGCATAAATATTATCAGTGTAATTAACCTATATAATTATACGGGATTAAAATTAAATTTGTTTAAAATTAAAAGGATTAATCATGATATTTTACCTTAAAAGTATATATTAATTTAGTGACTAAAATATAATTAATTAAAATTTAAATGCAAAATTAATATGCTCAGAAATGAATTTCAGTGACTAAAATGAAAGGAAATAGAATTAGCATGCAAAAATCGAAATTAAATAAATAAATAAAACATCAGTGACTAAATTGTAAATAGACTTCTAAATTAGAGGGATTATTTCGTGATTAACCCTTAAAATAAATGAAAAAAATAAGAAGCTCCTAAAAACCAGTGACCTTATGTGTAGTTTACCCAAAAAATAAAATGATAACAACTCCCACTTTTTTTTCCTTTCCAGTAACGTGTTCCCTTCTTTTTCATTTTTCTCCTTTCACACTCTCCTTTCTCTCTTCTTCTTTCAACTCAGTAACCCAAACCTCTCTTCTCCTTGGCTCGGTCGAGAGCTATTCAACGCCTAGGCCTTGACACCGACTACCGTAAATCGGTGGCCAAACACTCTTCTGATTATCCCACACAAAACCCGAACCTAAAAATTTATCCTTAAAAATTTTTAAATCCCGATTTGGGATTAAACTACAGAAAACGAGACTAAAAATCTCAAGCCTTTCTCCGATTCTTCAACCGACGTTTCTCCGGCAACCTAGACTCCGACGAAGAACTATGAACGAGGTAAAATCGTTCCTTTATATTTCTGTTTTTTTCTTACTGATTTTTTTTTATTTCGAAAAAAATAAAATATGAAATACCAAACTGAAAAATAAAGACCAAATGTAAAAATAACCTTTGTTGTATTTTTGTTTCTGATTTTCTTTGTATTGTTCTTGATTCCTCCGTCCCAATTTACATATTGTTATGGGGTTTTTATAGCCCCAGTTTACATGTAAAAAATAAAGATTTACATTATGTTATTTTTTTGTGATGATGGGCTGATTCAGGACGTGGAGCAAAGGAAGCCGTGGGAGATACCGACGACATGAAAGTTGTTGAAACGTGGAGGGACAGCTGTTCTGGTGTTGGAAGCTACTAGAACACTGTTGTGGTGGAGGGACAACTGTTCTGGGCTTGCTGGACTCTGCTGGAGCTACAACGTGGAGATGGCTACTGTCAAGGTAAAAATGGTGATTACAGCTGCCCCTCTTTGCTCGTTGCTGTAGAACAGGAATGGAGCAAAGACGTAAAACACCATTTTTAGCTTGAAATGTTTAAACTTCTGAGCTATAAGTTCTTCTCATTATGAACTTTTTGTTGGGAATGACGATCCACCTCCTTCTGTGATGGATTTGACAAAAGGTTAAACAATGTTGATGTTGATATATTTCTCTCTATGCCGAGTAGAACAAAAGGTTGAATAAGTTCTTCCCATTATGCACTTCTTCTTCTTCAGATGAGTTCTTCTCATTATGAACTTCTTCTGGAAATGCTGATCCTTAAAAGAGGTGTTGATTCAACTTCATATGTGATGAATTAAGATAAGGTCGAACAAGTTCTTCTCATTATGAACTTCTTCTTCCTCTCAAGATGAGTTCTTCTCATTATGAACTTATTCTTCTTCCTTCTTCAGATGAGTTCTTCTCATTATGAATTTGTTCTTCCTTCTTCAGATGAGTTCTTC